CTGCCTGTTCATATGGTTGGTATTCGTCTAATTTCCTTGTTAGTCGAGTAGTTATGACTTTGGTGAGTATTTTAAACAGGTGTGACAGTAGGCTGATGGGTCTGTAGTTTTACAATTTTTCGACTATCACCTTTCTTGTGCAATAAGATTACTTTAGAGTTGTTCCAGCTCTTAGGGACTTTGCCCTGATGTAAACAACTGTCCACAAGCTTAGTTACAATTGCAATTAGTTCCTTACCTCCTTCTAATATCATATCTGTGGTAATACTATCTTCTCCTGCAGCTTTATTTCTCTTCATGTTTTCCAATGCTGTAGTTACCTCTGAAATTGTTACTTTTGGCATTATTTCTGATCCAACATTTTTTATTAATTTCCGTGCTGATCTCATCTCATCATCTTGTTGATGTGATCTGTAAAATTCTGTGTAAAATTCTTCTATTCGTGTCAGTATGTTTTCTCTACTTGTGATTTCATTTTCGTCTTTTCCTATTAATGATATCATCTGACGTCGTCCTAGTGTCGGTCTGAGACATTTCATACTCTTATTTTTTTCAATAGTTGTTGTTATTAATTTTTCGTTTTCTTTTCTTTTTTGTTGTCTGATTCCTTTTCTAATCTGCCTATTAAGTTTTCTATATTCGTCGGTTCCCCTTTTGTTAGATTTATTTAAGATCTTCCTTCTTTCTATTTGTTGTAATATTTCTTTGTCTAATTCATTGTATGTTGTGTTCGGTTTTTTTCAGTTGCAGAAGGCTTTTATTCACTGTTTCGGTAATAAGGTTATTCAAATCATCAATATCATTGGAGTTTATCTGCTGCATGCTAACTTGATTTAATGCATGCACTATATTTTTATTAAATTCACTATTTTTGATTTCTTCAGATGTCCATTTGTATCTTTTTTCGTGTATTCTTTTTCTTTCTAGTTTTTTGTTAATTACTAGTTTTGTTCTTATTAGTCTATGATCGCTTCCTAGGTCAAACTGATTTAATACTGATACGTCTTCTACTAGGTTTCTATTCTTCGTTAAGATATAATCTATTTCATTCTTTGTCTTTTTATCGGGACTCATCCATGTCCATTTTCTGATTGGTTTTTTATTGAAAAAGGAGTTCATTGAGTACATGTTATGTTCATTCATAAAATTGAGAAGCATTTCCCCTCTATCGTTTCTTTACCCGTAGCCATAGTTACCAATTAAATGTTCATAATCTTCCTCTTTTTTGCCCAATTTAGCATTAAAATCTCCTAATAGTATTTCGTAATTTGCTTTATTTGTTTCTATAGCTGTTCTTATTTCATCATAAAATATTTCTACTTCTTCATCGTCGTGGCTTTTGGTCGGAGCGTACACTTGGATCACTTTCAGAGTGGTTCTTTTATTAATCCTGATGATGAGATATGCTACTCTGTCTGATATGGGCTTGAATTCTTCGATACACTGTGTGAGGCTTTGTTTTACCAAGAATCCCACTCCAGTGTATTCGCCACCTTTATGCATAAAATGTGTGCCATTTTTTAGTATTATATACTCATCACTTTTTCTTCTGGCCTCGCATATACCAAGGATATCCCATTTTATATCCTTTAGTTCACTTTCTATTTCTGGGAATCTATTGTCGTCCGTCAGTGTTCGAATATTGTAGGAGCATAGCCAAATTATCATCTTGTGGCAGCCGGGTCTTACCCAGGGATTCTTAGCACCCCCCCTTCCGTTAGTTGTTTGATCGCTGCCGTGATCAAGACTCTGGGAAGTGCTGGGCACTGGGGGCCTTTTCTTTTAAAAAGAATACCAAATGGAAGAAAAACAACTTAAACTTATCTGCTATGCAGACGACGCAATACTATTTAGAGTAACCGCCAGAAAATTTAACACGGTAATTTTCCCAAAAAAGAGAAAATGCATAGTTACAACAGCAAATTTACTAAGATGTAAATTGGAGGTGGTACGTCCGATAATAAAACAAGTGATGGAGTTTAAATATCTAGACATCAAATTATCTAGCTACAAAAAGTTCGAAACTGAAGTGAAAGATCAAGTGAATGGAGCAAACAGAGTCGCACGCTGCCTAAATGAAATAATATGGAGAAATAAAAATATCAGGAAATAAAAGAAATGCAGAATTTTCAAAACAGTCATCAGACCAATAATGACGTACCCGATAGAAACAAGACCTGACACACCTGACACTTCTTCCAAATACTATTGTAAATCGTTTGCCAAGAGTTGCAAATAATTATAACCATTTAAATTGTTGGGGAGAAATACTGGGCCTATTAGATTGTTATCCACAATTCCTGCCCAAACATTAACATTGAAAGTCCTTTGATAATGAGTTGTTTTTTTGGCATGAGGATTTTCAAGTCGGCCCAAATGTGTTCGTTATGATGTTCTGTTATTCCATTTCTACTGAAGGTAGCCTCGTCAATAAACAAACTATTTCTAATAAAATTAATATTTTGAGTGTTTTCCATTAACATCCAATGGCAAAATCCAATGCTTTTGGGATAATCTTCAACCAATAATTCTTGAACCGTTGTTAAGTGATAGGGTTTAAGCAGCTGATCCTTCAAACGCCTCCAAACCCTTACGTGAGGAATATTTAGTTGAGCAGCTATTACCCTTGTACTTGTTTCAGGGACTTCTTCAATGATTTCTAAAATTTCTTCATCAGTTGCATCCATTATTAGACGACCACTATTGCCAGCAACTTGCGGTTATAATGTATCCGTTTCCCGTAAACGACGATCAATGGTCAGAAATATTCGTATATCGGGTGTATTTCGATTGGGGTAATTTACTGCATAACGCCTTGCGGCTGCTGCACTATTTCCTTGACATCCACCTACGATATTCCTGATAGTTTATTGAAATCATAATTTAATCTGATACAACTTACCCAAAGTTAAATGCATATTTGCCATTTCCTGAAATGTGTAAGCCATTGTAATATCACAATTTTTAATATTAATCTTATTCAAACAATAAATGATAGCTTCAAATTATTGACTATTATTGATGGAACTGTATGTAATTATTGTATCGATAGAAACGAATTGTAATTTTATGGCCAACTAGGAAAAAACTAGTTTTCGAAAAAGTGGTAGGAGGCAAAAAAGTTTTAAAAATAATGTGTTAAACGATTGATGCCACAAAATTCATTTGATTTGAACTTACTCAAAAGTTTGGGGGGATTTAGGGCTGCACACCCCCTTAAAATTCTTCTGTGCGCTTAAATTTTGTTGTTTTTCTTGTATGAAAAATGCTTTCAGAACAAGACAGTAACGTGTCCATTTTTATTACAAAATGTCAAGTAGTTTAGGAGATAATGCAAAAAAACAATTTTTATTTTGTAACTTTAAAAGGTGTAACTTTTTTTATGTACACTTTTGTTTTAAAGTAAGTTGGAGTTCAATCTATTTTAGTCACCGGAATGCGTGATTTAATTTACGACATAACTTTTTAAAACACCTTGTATTTAAACTGTATGATTTACGCTACATATTATTTAAAATCAATTGAAGGGATCAGAGCCAAAAGGGTTCAAGTGCTAAATATAGAAACGAAAGTTATAGCGGTTTAAAGTTTTTTGATTATTGTAAAATATATGTAACAAATTTATAAAACCTTTTTTCGAAAACCAAAAAATGTTTTTAGGTTAATGTCTCATTACCTCTTAATAAAATGTTTAAAAAATCCATATTTAAAAAAATGCACTTGAACCCTTTTGCCTACAAAAAAAAAACAAAAGAAAAAAGCGTTTAAATCATGTTTATTAGTACAGAAAGGTACAGACAAAAATTAAAAATTGTAATAAAAAATACGAAAAAGGTGTTATTTTTAATCTTCATAGTCTGAATCTAAAATTATCCTATCTGGTTCATTACGAGCTGTGTCATCATTGCTTTCGTGAGTTTGTTCGCTCGAATTTGCGCGCGATTGTTTTATGATGTTTTTTTTTTTTTCATGTGGTAATTCGTTATAAAACTTATGGTGGATAGGAGGTACACAGGGTAAAAGTTATTGCAAATTTTTACATTTTGCATATTTTATTTTTATACCCGTCGTATATAATGTTTTGTATAAATCGGTAATCTTAATAGATGGTCTTCCTTGTGGAAGCTTAGAGCATTTCTGGGCCATAAAAAATGAGAAAGGGAACTTCTTGTAGTTTTAAATAAGAATGAGAAAAACTCATCATGTTTGTAACAAAACCGTACTATATCACGCCATGTAATAGAGTATTTCTCTGAATCCTTTTTTGGATCCAATATTAAACTGTTTAAATAATCAAAACTTACAAAGTCACAACTGTTCATGTTGACTACGTAGAAGTTTTTTGATGTTTTTCGAACGATATCTGACCAATGTTCAGGAATAAATACACTTACGGATTGTTTTTTTTTCTTCCCAATTTGACCAAACGATCGGTCAAATTCCATATAAGAATGTCCAGACTCAAAAAATTTATGATCGATTAATTTCATATGACTACACTGAACTAAAAACATAAAAAGCTTTGCTATGTTTTTATTCTTGTTCTGTCCAGCGCACGAATCACTGCAGCAAATGAGATGCTCGATACTGTCAGGGAGGGATTTGATAAACTGAAAACAAAAACGTGATTTAATTAACTCGCCCCTTTATTAGCATTTGGAAATAACTCACCTTAAGTAAGCAGGATCCGATTTCCTGTGAGCCTCTAGATGCTGTAGTCTCATTCCAGACAAACACATGCGATTTTCCAGAAACCAAGTCATATATGCAAAAGTTGGATGTCCATAATTGCCGTAGATAGTATACTTTATTTGTAGTTTATAATGGAGTAGGGAGTGTTTTCTGCAAATCAAAGCAAATAACCCTTACTTTTTCTGGATTTTGTATGCCATAATTAATGTCATCAATTTTTGATTGTTTGACAGCTTCAACCTTTTTTGGTGTAATGTCCTATCAACTTTACTTCGTATCTTAACTTCTGCATCGAAACTATTAATAACCATATTATTCAACTTGTCACATGTATGGCAGGTGTCTGAATGAGGCCTATAAAATTTTAAGTTGAATTCTGTGGCGAAAATATGTCGATAATATGACTCTTTTACTTTGGCCTTATTTTTTTCTGTGCACCAATCACTATAAAGGGAGTACATTTTGCTAACATTAAGATTTTCTGGAAGGCACCTGCTGCAGCGATTGTCAAGTCGAGAATAGTGACTTCGATATCGAGGAAACATTTTAATGTGGGTGACATCATCTCGCACGACATCACTAATTTTATTTATAGGTGAGAAGCGTCCGCGTTGATCCGTTTCAATAAAACCTTCATCTGTTTTCTTATTACCAACTATTAAAAATCTTCTAGTAGTAATATCTAGAGTTTTTAAGAAGAATGGTTTGCATACTCTAACACCCATCAGTTTAATTATGGTGCTAAACTGTTTATGCGATACTGCCTGGGCTATTTTTCGTTTGGGAGCAATCTTTGAAATATATGAGGCGATGAAGTTGGTTTGTAAATCATAAGACTTGAGTTGATAAAATCTTGTGAACAACATCTGTCTATCTGCTTCGTTTATTTCATGACATTTATATCTACATCTGTGTTCATAGACTTTCAATTCCTTTTGCATAACCTTTTTCCCCTTTGCAGTCTCATATTCCAAACCCTGCAGTCTCGCATTTTTCCTAATTTGTTTTTTATGGCCTTTAATATTCAACCTTTTCTTTCTCGTTCTTTTAGGAGTAACTGAAATAAAATATTGTTATTTAGATAAATAAAACTCTTTACAATATTTAAACGTAACATACCATGAGCACTGTCTGAAGTATTATTCTCTAATAATTCATTAACATGCTGGCTCTGATTAACGTTAAGGTGGGGTACACTTGGGGGTTCATAATCAGAATTCTCATCAGTTATATATGGGTCAAAGTCACTAGCATTAAAACTGCAAAAAGAAATAACAAAAAACTTAATTTTATGTCAACCATATTTTTTGAGGTTATGTTATTTAAACAAAACGAACTAATATTATTTTGTATTATAATATAAAGCACTACCTTTAGGAGTAAAGGATTTACTCATTTTCCTTTAAAAATAGTTTATAATCAGTGGAAAATTTCAAACAATGGCATAAACTAACAAAAACACAATGACACGTTGCCACTGCCAGATAAACTTCTAACAATAATTGTTTAGCACCAAACAGGTTTAAATGCGTTTGTTTACATGTTTTTTCTACCGTTTAAAAGATGGCATTAAAACATCGAAAATCAGTTGATCTTTTTTCCACAAAAGAAGTATATGTTTCAAATAGCTAAATATGCACTTAACTCATTTTTTAAGAAAACGTCACTTGAACCGTTTTGGCTCTGACCCCTTCAATTATGCCCGTAAATTAAAAAATTCTAACTTTAAAATTGTTGTGAAGTACACCGATATATCTATCGTGATATTCATACGAAATATTGTAAAAAGTTTTCATTACATATTGTTTCAATACATCAATTATAAACTAATAAAATATTATTTTAATTAGTTTCTTAACCCACAAACAGCAGGTAGGTAAATCGGTTAATAAGTAAGAAAACCGGAGTAATCGTCAATAACTTCATTAAATTAAGAACAAACCTAAAAAAGAAAACCGTCCTATCTCCACGAATCGGGCTCTGTTGAATTTAAAAAGAAATTAAGGAAATCAAATAGCTGCGAGTGAAATTAATTAAAGCAAATATTTGTTTCTGAGAACTTGAAGGTTTTAAAACAGTTAAATGAAAAATTGTAGATTGCAGTGAAATTTTTAGATCTGTGTTTTGATAACTTTGAGGTTGTTACATACAATTACTTTCACTCTACTGTTTGTTTTGTTTCAAAAAAACATCTTTAAAAATATTCTTGAATATGGAGTTTTTAAAGTAAATAAACTGTTTATTTTTTATCTTTATATAAACCGATATATCCCACATTATAGAGCAACAAGTAATATTAGACAAAAAGAGTTAATTTTCTATCATGGTTAAAATCGTTCTTAATAAACTTCTCTTGGCAAATAAGTGAAATGCAGCTGCAGCCATCTATTTGAAACCATGCTAGAGAGCAAAAACTTTTCGGTATTTAATTGTTCTTATTCCTCACTATATATTTTTTGGTTTAGGGTGTATTTGGTACGGCTTTAACCATTTTCAAACATCGTTGTTAATCATCGAGCAAAAAGACACAAGAGGGAATGTAAAGGTAGTGGGGGCAAACATATTGTTAGACAGGAAGTGCGATCTTTAGAGGCCACATTAAACAAGGAAAGAGAATCTCTCTCCTTGTTTGACATCAAATTTAGTTGGGTGATGTTATTTTTTGTCTCAAATGTCACATGAAATCTTATTTATTTTGAAGTTGTTTAACAATGGTGTCGCATTTTAGACTCTTATCATTAATAATTAATTAAAACTTTCTCGTCTAAGACATATTCTGAAAAATATTATATAGCTACTGTTGATAAGTGTCGGAAAATTTAAATTTGGCGCATTCGCATTTCCGGATATGTCCGCCATCAGAGGCCACTTTTTTGGTCTCCTTTTCATAAGGATTAGATTCCCTCTTTTGTCTTATTGCTCGATGTTGTTAATATACAGAAAGTAAAGAAAGTCTTACACCCTCTGTCAATTCGTTTATTTTAAAAGTTAACCAAAATTGGTCGAACACATTGATTTTTAAGTTTCTTTTAATAGGTTTGTTCTAGCATCAGTTTCAAATGGTTTGAAACCATCAGCGAATAGTGGACCAGTGCGAGTAGATGGGATATAGCACTGGTGACTGTATTATTTTCTCTCGCTGACCAACTGTTTGCTGACGGTTTCTGACTAGTTTGTCTGTTTGCTAGAACAAACCTATTATCTCACGCTATACCATCGAGCAATAAGACAAAAGAGGGAATCTAATCCTTATAAAAAGGAGACCAAAAAAGTGGCCTCTGATGGCGGACATATCCGGAAATGCGAATGCGCGAAATTTAAATTTTCCGACACTTATCAACAGTAGCCATATAATATTTTTCAGAATGTGTCTTAGACGAGAAAGTTTTGATTATTTTTTAATGATAAGAGTCTAAAATGCGACAAAATTGTTAAAAAACTTCAATATAAATAAGATTTCATGTGACATTTGGGACAAACAATAACATAACCCAACTAAATTTGATGTCAAACAAGGAGAGAGACTCTCTTTCCTTGTTTAATGTGGCCTCTAAAGATCGCACTTCCTGTCTAACAATATGTTTGCCCCCACTACCTTTACATTCCCTCTATTGTCTTTTTGCTCGATGCGCTATACTCGGTTCGCTAATGCCAGTCCGAACTGTCTAGTAATTTTAGTAATTATGTTTTTACGAAGTTAGTTACTTTTTGACAGACTTGAAGTGGCTGGAAATTATTATACAACCAAGTACACGTGCTCATAGCGCATTTCATTAGAGTATTTCGTCGACCTCTTTTGCAAACTTATACTATGAATTAGAAATTTATAGCATGTATATAGAATGTAAGTTTCTAGTATATATAAAAAATATGTTTTATAAAAAAAAGTTACGGTAATTTAGTTTATATCGTTAGGTTGCGCCAAATGTAGGCAACCAACTTAAACTTTTTGTTAGCATTTAGATGGAGTTTCTTGAGAATATATTTAATATTTTCCAGTTAATTTATAATTATTTTTTAAAGTGATGATAATAATGCTGAATAAGCAATATTTCAAATGATGTCTATTCACAGGACGTACTTAATATTGTGTTATAAAGTAGGTTAGATAAAAATATCATAATATTCGTATTATAATTCAAAAACATCATTCATCAAAAATATAATTAAAACAAATCATAATCTTCTATTATTCCTATTAGAAACTAGTTTTGGACGGCCCGGGATTTTACCTTTTTTATCTAACGTACTTTATTGTGAGGATTTTACAATAACACAATATTAAGTACGTTTTGTGATTAAATATCATATAAATTTTGCTTATTCAGCATTATTATCATCACTTTTAAAAAATAATAAATTAACTGGAAAATAATAAACGTTTATTAAAAATATTCTCAAGAAATTCCAGCTAAATCCTAACAAAAAGTTTAAGTTGGTTGCCTACATTTGGAGAAACTTAACGATATAAACTTAATTACTGTAACTTTTATCATAGCTTTTATTTAATTTTTGACGCCATGTCAAACTAAACTGGATGTTAACTGAAATGTTTTTGTTATTAAGAACATATTTACATAATTTTATAAATATATTTTAATGATCCACCTACGCCGAATGGGCAAATAATTAAACAAAAATGGTTGGTGTTTTGAATAAATCTTTGTGCAGTTTGATTACCTCGTAATTTAACAGCATCCTTACTCATCTAAAAATATTGAATTTAAATTTAAAATTTAAAACTTAAACTTGGGGGCTGGAAGATTAAACTAGTGCTTACAGTTTCTTCCATCCCCCAAGTTTAAGTTTTAAATTCAATGTTTGTCCCGTCATTTAGTGTTTCTGTTTCCTGTTAATGTGTGTTTAATTTGTCCCTAATCGTTCTTAATTTATAATAATTTTATATACTTTTTATATACCTTTTTACATAGTTGACTTTACAATAATTTATTAATTTTGCCAATAGACTTGATAATTACAAGTCAAAAAATTGCACAACCACACAATCGGTACAGCTACTCTTATTCATTGTCATAAAACTGTCTCCTTCATTACATAAATACTCAATAAATAACACACATTCCAAAAATATATCTCTGATATAAGTGTAAATAATTTAAATAATACAATAGTAAAGAACATCACTTTCATCTGACAAACAACCACAATATACCTATCTCTAATTCATTGGATCAAATCTGTTCTCCTCAAGAACTTCCCGTTTATTGTCAAAACAACTGCAATAGCACATTAAAGTTCTCCAATCAACAATACATGATTTTTGCAACCATGACCTATCATCCATCAATTAATAGAGTACCGGCATGTAAGTAATGTTTGTTTTGTTTTATTTATTTACTCATTTATTAATTTATTACAATATAAGATTGCTACTTTATACCAATTGTGGGCCTTACCTTGTCTGTTAATACCTTTTATATATTCAAATTATTCATTTTGAAAACCACAGACATGTAATATTGGCATAATTACTATGATTTGTATGAACTAATTTATTTCTTTATTTTATCTTTATGAGACACCACCCTAATTGGGTTTATTTTATTGCAGCATAAGTTTAACTTTGTATCTCGACCTGAAGATGCTTTGCAAATTGTAGAAAGCGAAACCGGTCGTCAGATTGTTAAATTAAATTGATTGTGAGTAAGTCTTATTATTATTTCTTTACCTATTATATTTTAAATATATAGGGAAAATGTTATGGGTTTAGTATACACTTCCACTATTTGGAATAATTCTTCTTTTCTTAAAGGAAGAAGTCTGCAATTGTAGTATATTTGAGCTATTAATACTGAGAAGTAAGAATTTTTCTGTTGTAGGTTTCCGACAATGAATCTGTCAAAATATGCCCGAACTAAGCGCATGGAGAATATCATAGTTTCGGTATTTTGATAAACCAAATGACAGCCACACTCTATTTCACTAATATTTTTTGCTTATTTATAAATTAAAATAAATAAAATAAAATTCTTCCAACTTATTCTTCCAATAATAAAAATTCAAATTCAAAATTCAATTTTTAGTTTATTATGTATTCAAATTCAATTGTCAAATATTCACAGTTATTTGTTTTCAACTTTGTTTTTTAATTCCAAGTATTTCAATTTCATAGTTTGATTTCTTCTTTTCTACAGTATTGGTAATGCTTGGTGGAACTTTTAATTGTAGTCAGCCACCCACTATCTAATAGATTATTTATTCTAGTACTCACAGTCACACTCTATGTGCACTTCAGTTG